TTCGAGAAGATAGTAAGGAGAAAACAGTGCCTTTCAATTAGCCGTTTTCCCTCCCTGTTGGTGTCTGACTAGTTATGCCACAAGGTCTCAAGAAGGGGGCAGAATGTGTAAGATTTAGACAAAATTTATAATAATTTACACATACAATCTAACATAAACTGTCTTTAAAATTTCCATTTAGTTATTTTTAAAGAAAAAAAATGCAGAGATAATTTGGACCCTTTATTTTTATTGCGGGGATATGCACAAGAATTTGACTTGTGCCTTGGGACATTCTTTGGGATGTAGTGTTTGTAACATTAATGGTTTGCTATGTTCTTCTTTACCAGTCTCCTAAACAGTAGATAAATTGCACAAGCAGAACTGTTATCCATTGTCTGCAGGTGAACCAAAAAACAGCTTGTTGTAAAAATAAAACCCCAAGGATCTAAATAAAACAAAAATCTGTTGCTCCGCACAAGATGCCCTTGGCTATAAAAAGATTGCAAAAACCTTGAGCCTTAGCTGCAGACCTTACAGTCATTTTACTGGAAAGGTTCTACTCAGAACGGGCCTCGCCATGGCCACCCACAGAAGATGAGAGAATGTGTTCAGTGTCATGTTCAGAGATTGTCCTTTGAAAACAGATGTATGAATGCTGCCAACTTATCACTTCAACTTAAGTAAAGAATCTCTGCATGTTTGCTGAAGACAAGCAGACAAAGAACGAGTCCGAAGCTGTTGGGATAGAACAACTTTGCCAAAAAGTGTGATTTTTTTCCAACCAAAATTGGGATTATATTTTGATTTTCCTTTGTACTAACCACAAGCATGTAGATGTTTCACTCTAGGGTTGCATTTCTTTTTTTCCATGACCTTCAAAGCTTGCTTTTCCAGGGTACTCTGTGGTCTGACTTTACCATTACTGCAGTGTGTAAAATAACTTACCTACTACATGCATGGTCTGCACAATATGGCTGATTCTGAATTGGGCTAATTGTATCTCCTACCTCCTGTTCCTAACCCCTTCTAGGG